GTACGTATACGTACGTATCGTATGTAGTATTACGAAAGCCCAGACCCTCTCATAACTTAAGATTAAGATGAAAATAACACATTTACACAAAGGATTGTAATTATAGTAATATTATATTTTATATTAATGAGTAAAATGTGTGCTTTTCATAGAAAATACATCAGAAAACTTACTTATCTACCGATCATAAACTAAAACTAATTTTTACAAATAGCGTTTGTTCTCTTGTTTTGAAGGTTTGTTGAGTCAAAGCAAATCAAAGCAGCCAATCAGAAGAGCCCAATGGATATAACGTGTAGGAAAAAAAAATTCGCGCCCGGCGACGGGTAAGCAGATGCCAATTATACTATAGCGAGCACGTGTTGCTTTAATTGTGTAATGTGTAGCCTAAAATATTGCTAATTCTACAGCTGGGTATATAACGAAATATAATGTGCTTGTTATTATTTTCATTGTATGTAATGCGAGCATTCTGTTGCATTATAGCATAGCACGTGAGGACAACCCTGCCAAATAATGAAACTCGCAAAATCAAATTCATGTATAAAGTATTTTATTACATTTCACATCAGTTAATCACATCAGTTATCAATAATTATTATTATGTTTACCAGTTAAACACAGAGCATTCTCTGTTTTATAAACAGAAACTAGTACTGTGAAAGAATCAAAGGTAAAATGTTTACTTTGCTCAAGCAAGAGATCCCATGAGTAACGTAACTGCTTGTTATCACAATTCAGCGAGTAAATTCAAATGATTCAGATAATTAATCACTGATTAATCAATTATAGGTGAGAGATATGACAATAGAGTAATAATATACGATAGTAAGTATAATTATTGCTCGTATTTTTAGTATCGACGTACAACGGCTCATATTTTGAGATTAAAATCGAGTTAAAAATATTTCTTTTTAGAGTAGACTTTTTTATGAAAGCTTGATCATCTCCGATAACATATCATTTATAATCAATAATAGAAATTTATGGAAGCTTATTTGAATTTGAAAATTACTTACCCGAATGCATGCACAGTGACTTACTGACAGCAGTGGGGGAAGGTCAAACAAGAAAACCCAAATCAGGTTTTGGTAGGCACACTTGATCACTTGACAGGACCTCAATAAAAATCAAGAGAAGGACGTAGTAATAGAATCTATAAAACTATGTACTGTGTTAGGCACCGCATGTTCTGTAAATTTTGATTATTTACGTTTGGCTTCTAATTGAGTCTCTATCCGTAGGCAGATGTTGAAGGCGGGTGTACATCCTAGCAGCGCAACCCATCGCCGCCATATGTGTGCATCACATAGACCTAATTTTTTTTACCGATACGCGGTCATTTCCGTACTACATTTACCACGATAAAACAGACACACACACTCTCTCTCTCTCTCTCGCTCACACACAGTGACACACACACACACACACACTGTGTGTGTGTGTGTGTGTGTGTGTATGTGTGTGTGTGCGCGCGCGTGTGTGCGTGTGCGTTTGCGTGTGCGTGTGCGTGTGCGTGTGCGTGTGCGTGTGCGTGTGCGTGTGCGTGTGCGTGTGCCTGAGCCTGTGCCTGTGCGCTCGCGCGTGTGTGTGTGCGTGTGTGTGTGCGCGCGTATGTGTAACATGGCTTAAGTAAAAATAACCGTTATTTATTAACGTGGAGCCAAAATTGAGAGAGTTGGGAATCAATGCACATACCACCTGCCCCGACTAAAATATCTAAAATGGCGGTGTCACGTCACGAGCTCATACGTGTGAAATCCGCTCTCCCGCTCTACACGACGGTTATGGGGCGCCAAGTGTAGCATAACTGATTATGTTACGAAATCAATGATTTTGTAACGAAATCAAGTTTACAAAGTGATTTCGTTACCAAATCAACTACTGCAAGTGATTTCGTTACCAAATCAACTACTGCAAGTGATTTCGTTACGAATCAGCTACTGCGAGTGATTTCGTTACGAAGTCAGCTACGGTGAGTGATTTCGTTACGAAATCATGCTACACTTGGCGCCCCGGGGCGCCAAGTGTAGCATGCCTCATTA